CCACTGTAAAAAATAGCGTGCCTCAGGCACACTGAATGTGCACATCACGTGGGGCTGTTTTCGCACACTGAAAGTGGCTTGTTCAGTGTGCCCGTAACACACTGGAATTGCACATATAGCTTCCACAGACAGAACGAGAAAAAGACCGAAGAGAAGAATAATTCTTTCGTTTTATTTCCATAGAGAAATGCAAGATAAAAATTCAGATTACAGTGACAATTTGTACATCACCTTGGATTCGAAATGCACACTAGCGGTTATTTACTTAAAGTACAAGTACTTTTACTGTTACTTGTATACTTGTACTGGGCCATGCTCTGAATGTGTTTAATGCAGACATATGAAAGTCACACTAGAGTCACATGGAAGATGTCTGAACAAGAAAGACGCTTAATAATCACATCGTTATCGATGGCTAGCCGATTAGTTCTCGTTTCGCCGACTTTTTTCTTAATTGATTTCATACTAATTCAGTGATATGTACGAAAGATTATTCTCGTTTCGCCGAATCATTAACAGATATTTTCGTTAATAATAAGTGGAAAAATAAGTTTAAAATAAATTCTAAAAATAAAAGCCCGAAAATGGCATCAATGTTTGATTATTCATTGTGGAATTATTTTGGTTTCTTAAGTCATCGTACTAACAATAACATCGAGGGATGACATTGCAGACTAAATTCTTCGCTTTATCATGTTCATCATCCAAATTTTTGCTTATTTCTTAATAGTTTAAAAGAAGATTTTGCTTTCAATACGGCTATTATAACACAAAACTCTGCCACTGGTGCAACACTAGCACGTCAAAAAATTATATATTCGTCGCAATATACGCATTCTTAATTGGAAAAAAGATATAAAGAACAAAAATTAACATTAATTGAAATTTCATGATCGAAGTATGAAATTGATTGGTATTAAAAAATTCTAAGTTTAATTTTTTGTACATAATCACGTAATTAGTATCAATAAATCAATTAAGAAAAAATCGGTGAACCGAGAACTATGGATTTCTATATTTTTAGAAAAGTTGGCGAAACGAGAATACACCGACTAGTCGAATACTTAGTTAAAGAAGTTGTATTCAATTTTCTTTGTAGATGTAGATCTATCTTGAGATTTAAGATTATAGCCTACGTAAAGATTAAGAACACGCGGGGACTCAACTGCTTCCGCTGATTCCCCTAAACTCATACTGACTTTCTAGAAGAAATAAACAATTATCAATGAGAAGCGTAATGCAATTTTTGAGGGAAATAGTAGACACTTATTAACTCGTGTGTGAGACACGAAATTGCCGAAGTGTATAAAAGCAATCTTCATTTATTCCTAGCAACTCCTGTGGGTCTCTGATTTAAGTTTTTAGTCGAAGTCTCTCACAACACTTCAACATAAGAGATCAGTAAGACTAATACTTAATGTGTCTGTGTGATGAACTCGTTCATCTGATAAGTTCAACTCTCGATAGATACGAAAAGTTTAATGTGTCTTTTCTACGAGACACCATCAAAGCGACTTCAGAAGAGTCGCTAAAACATATCATCGACAGAAAAATAAAGTTCATTTAGAGTTGCAGAAAAGTGCTTTACGTATTCAGCACACTCGATAACCCAAAAGATTTTGTTTTTGATGAAGAGTACTGTCAAAAGTTTAAGAAAAGTTTTAAAACTAATATTATTTTCCCGTGGTAATTTTTTTTCGCCATTTTGTTTGAAAATTTTTCTTCAACTTTTGTTAGTACTTCTCATTAAAACTGGAAAATCTTCTGAACTATCCATTCTAAAAAAAATGAGACTTAGGATCAAATTAAGTCGCATTAATGGGTCTTATTTTCACAGAATAAGGCACATTAATGTGACTTAATTTGATATTAAGTCGCATTTTTTTTAGAGTGTCAGGTATGCTGAATAAGGAAAAGCACTTTTCCGTAACTCTAAATGAACTTTATTTTTTTCTTCACGTTGATATATATCACCAAATGGATCCGACTAACATGTCTTTGGTGCGGTTAGAAAAAGATCCTATAAAGTGACTAACACGTAAAGTCGCATTTTGTATGTTCATGGGAGACACTATAATGCAGCTTTTTGGAATTGAATTTCTGTATTTAATTATAAGTCGCTTGTTTCTTTAAAGTGTACACAATTTACAAAAACATCAGTAGTCTTACACTAACGTGACATCTCTCGCTGACTTCATTCGTTATCACCAACAGTTTTATCAGGTACACTAACGCACTAGAGCTACTGTGAGTTTTCTGGTCTGCAACTAACGTTTTTCTTTTTCGAGTGATAGGGTTTTTGAAATTAAAAAATAGTTTTCACTATAAATCAAAAATTGTAAAGAAAAATCAAAGTAAATAAACTTCGAAAATGTTCTTAAATGCCCCTGGTAAAACTTTTGGCTCAAAAGAATAGGGTTTTTGAGAGATCATTACAATATTCAATGAAAAACAGAATTTCCTGGCAATCTACACAATAAAGAATATCTAAAACAAAAGCATTTTATTCAGTTCTAAAAATATAAAATCTTCATCATCTTCACTTTTCGATTAGTGTGACATTTCTAAGAATAACCTAGAATGAGGAAGGGAGGATTCATTAAATAATTTTAAATATACACAAAAATAAGTGACATTTCCAAGTATTGCAAATCGATGATTAAGTTACTCTTCTCATTGAACAAATCTTGCTTGCTACTCGATGATAAATTTTCGTTTTGTTATTCTGTTCAATGTTTTGAAATTGTCATTTATTCAGTCTTTGTTCAATGAGAGTTTATAAAATATAGAGTATGTGAGCCACTTTTGTATGATACTTTGCTTTTTTATTATTGTTTGAAGATGATAGAAAACGATGAGTCTTGACTTTGTTCAATATAGGTCAATATTTAATATTCAATTGATCAATTCCAATAATAATGTGTGTGTGAAAAAAGACACTGATTAAATATATCGAGAGAACGTGTGCTCTTGTTGATTAAAACAAAAAGAAAGTTGTGTGAACTATTGTAGGATATAAATATGCAAATACAAACTAAATATGCTAATAATATTGTCGTTTATATTTCAATTTTTAACTGTACATCTGCAAAGTAAGACATGATGTCAAAAAAACAAATAATATACTACAAAATTCTTCGGTTTTAAGGACAGAATACAGCAGAGTGAAAACACAAATAGAAAACATTCTCTTGTTTTCAGAATTTTTACTTATTTGTTCTTTAGCATTCAGCTTTTCATTAATATTGTAGTCATTTTTTTTCTCAAATGTTCTGATATCTATATCTTCGATCCCAAGTAACTAAATACTGATCTCGATCATAAAATATTCGATGTCTCATTTTGTGAAGAAGAAGTATATCAGAATTAATTTGCATTTGTTTTTAGTTTACTTTACCTAATATTGTTTTTTACTTCAGACGACTATACATATATATATAGAAAATGTGATGTTATCTTTTCTTCGTGTTAAGTGTAACAATCATTGAGTTAAGCACACTTTTGTTTTATATTACAAGTGTTATACTAGTGAAATAAAATTTTAATGGAAACAATATGAAAAATGTAATGATAATCAATATCTTATTTACATATCTTGCCATAGGGCGTTGTTTTTCATCAGATCTAGAGTTGTTATCAAGTTCTTTCTCTCTTTTGATCACCTACCTCGTTCAAAAATAGATCGCGTCAAAATTAATTTCAGTTAATATCATTCGACTTGATCGTTACTATACGGTTGACCAAATCTCTTCTTCTTCCCATCAGGAGAAAAGGATCAAAGAAGAACAAGCTCATAATAGACTTAGTCACGAAAGGATATTTCATATAATTTCTCAGTTACACTAAAAAAATGTTAAAACAATAGTCAAAGTATTTTCGATCAGTTATTTTATTTATATCGTGATATTTGATTTATTGAAGGATAAATTTAAATTTGATGACAATTATTCACAATGTGTAAAAAAAGAAAATAGTTTTGACATTCTTGCTATGCATGAATTAGAAAAGTATTTATTCATTTGATAAAAAATATTTGTCCATTATATTTTTTTTTATTTTATTTAAACACATTTTAATGTGTAGTCTCTGTGAGATGACTCATACTCAATTAATACTAGTCATGACCAACAAATAATATTGGATTATTAGCTAGACAAACCATTGTTTTAACTAATTTGATTTAGTCTAATGAATAGAATACACGACAACAAAGAGGCATACAGAGAAGAAGAAAAAATTGAATTTAGACAATGTGATGTGATGTGATGTGTCCATTATGTCTGGACTATATACTTAAAAACAATGGTGGAAGGATTACTGTTGCAAGTTTTAATCGGATTGTGTTCTATTATTATTATTATTAGTCGTAGTCACCGTATGAACATATAGACATTGATCTTTTTTGCATGCATGAAAACCAATTGATTTTCTTAAAAAATATTGACATGTCTGGGTTATCTAGATATAGTTATGTCGTCATTATAATCTAATAATCATGATAAAGCTCTTGTTTCCTTCAAAATAGACGTTGACATAAACTTTATATCATCACGTAATATTTACAAAAAAATCTTCAAGCAATTAGGAAGGAAACGCAAGCATAAATGAGTCGATCATGTTCGATTAAGTTAAATTTAAATATCACACGTCCGTTGTAAATAAAAATGAAAATAATATGAGTGGTTTACGATAGTAATTCATTCTATTTTTCTCACCTTAATATTTGACTACAAAGAATATCAATTGTTTACAATTTATCTCATACCATAGAGATATATTTATGTGTATAAAAAATGTACAAAAAAAAAACATAGGAAATATTCACTGTTAAAAATAACAAACAGGAGAGACTATATCAGAAGTAGTCAAAATGATCTTGTCAATATGGAAAATAGTAGAAATTATTTTTCTTCAGATTATGACTGAATGAGATATAAACTCTCACGGGATTAGATGTCAAAAATATTATCCTGTTCACTTTCAAAGCTTGCAGTACATCACTAAACATAGGATGCATGGGAGTCAATTGTATTGGGTATAGTGGTTGAGGTACTACTGCTGTCATAAATATTTTCAAAACGTTTCATGGCCGTGGTAGAATCAATGGAGGCTACACCCGATGTCATTGGTGTATTAATCATCGTTCCATTATTATCGCCTTTAAATCTTACATGTTTCAAAGTTTTTAATCGGCAATTTTCATTATGATTACTAGTTATAAGTCGGGGTAATTGTTGATCGGTAGACGTTAACGACGATGGATTTAATAAAAAACCTTGTGATGAGTCGAGTTGTAGAGCGAATGTTGAATGATGTGATTGTTCTGAGGACATATCCGATGAACAATAACATCCATCATCAGAACGTACTGGCGATGAGGTAGATGATGAACCCTGATGATTTGTATTATTATCAATATTTGATAATGTCTGTAATTTTATTCTATTATTATCATGACATAATTGACTATTTGAAGAGTTATTACATTGCACTTTATCATGATCATTCTGGATATTATTACTATTGTTATTGTTCGTATTATTACTTTCATATGCATACCATGTTAGGGATGATGATGGAATTTGACTATCATTTTGTTTTAAAAGTACATATGTATTCGGATAGGATGTAATTGGATCATATAAAACCTAGAAACAGAATATAATATTCATCATCATTACTTAAAAATTTTGTAGATTTTACAGTATCTGTAAATCTTAAAGTTTCAATGTCAACTCATACTTTTACCTTACATTCATAGTTACATAATCAAAGATGATCATATTGAACAAATTTTTCTACCGTTAGATTTAAACAGAATACTATCATTAAATAAAAATATTTTCAATAGAATCAACTGATGTCGTATGTTTTCTTTGACCGAATGTGTATCAGTCTTTCAATGGAAAATGAGAATTAAATGACTTTTCTTCGATCAATACATTCACCAGCATGTCGCATAAAAGAATAAAGATCAAACAGTGTCTTACCGCTCGTTCAAAATGATCATCGTCTGTATGACAATATTCACCATTGGCAACATTAATCGTTTGTTGTAAATCATTATCCGTGATGGAACCGGATGATGACGATGATGATGCCGATGACGATGTAGATTTTAATCGTCTTCCACTACTACCACCATTTGTATGATTTGTATTACCATTATTATTATTATTATTATTATTATTTAATAATTGTTTTCGTCGTTTTAAATGACATCGACAAATAGAGCCGATAATTATTGAACAAAGAACAAATAAAAATGCTAGTAAACCGGCAATAATTAAAATACTTTTTGGATTTTGTTCACCATTTCCATTTCCAGTAAGAACATGCCAAGAATTTGATAAAGTTGTTGGTAATGATGAAACATGAACTTTTAATAGTGTTGTACTAGATAATGGGGGTTCACCCAAATCTTGTGCTTGTACAATAACATCATAACGTGTATCTGCTTTTAATTTATTTTTACCAATAAAAAATATTCGTCCATCTGTTAAATTAATTCGAAATAAATCATTATAATTAATAAGACTATAAATAATTTCACCATTTTTTCCTTCATCTAAATCATATGCATTTACTTGTATTATTAATTCATTATATTGAATAGTTGGTTTTACATTACATTGATAAAGAGAACGATTAAATAGTGGTAAATTATCATTAATATCTAATATTTTTATTTTCACTGTCTGATTAACTATATAGAACGGTTTAACAAGATGTTTTGCTTCAATTTGAAATTGATAAAATGGTGTTCGTTCACGATCAAGTATATTTGTTGTTATTAATGTCCATGAACGTCCTGATAAAGCTGTTGATGATTGTATAGAAAAATCAGTATCACTGGAAGTTAATTCCCATTCATTATTGTTATTGACCGTTGGAATGTCATTTAACAGATTAATAAAAGCAATGAAACTACCAGACGTTTTACCTTCAAGAACTTCTACGGTATTATTAACAATATGAAAAAATTGTGGATAACGAATATCTAATGTTGGTATTGGATAACAATAATGAAATATTAAGAATAATAATATGACAATATTGTACATGATTAAAAGTTCAACATCTTAAAATGAAATGAATGAAAGAAATGCATGGTCTAACACTTTCTACAACAGAATGCAATTGAACGATATAGTTCAGTTTTTCTCTTCTTTTTTCTCTTTTTTCTCGTATAGAGACAAGAAATAGAGAATAAAAGGAGAAAGAAAGAGAAAGAAAAAAAACCGATTATCATAAGGTTTCGTCTACCCATATAGAAAGATAGATAATTAAACATCATCATCGATGTTGAAAAATTTGTTCTCGAGTCTGTTCATTCTCTTTTTTGTTAGTTGTCAATATTGATACATTCGTCGAAATGAGAGAGAGAGAGAGAAAGAGAGTCAACTTTTTCACATATTTGATTTATTTAACTAATTCTCATTATAATTGTAATAATTAATGTGTGTGTGACTTGAGGATTTAGATACTGCAAAAAAATAAATTTTATAACAATAAGAAGATCAATGTGTACGATTGAAATCAGTTGATCGATAACTAAACAGTTTGAAAAAAATTGATTCTTTTTACAATGTGGGGAAAAAAATAGCGATGGTCAGATCGCTTAACTACGAGATTACTATAAGAACTAACTGCAAAGCAAATATCTATTGAAAGTTCACACTATTCATTCACAAGAGATGCTCATTGTTAACTTTATACTGTTTTTACTAATAATATGTGTTTGGTTAACAACAGTTTCACAGATTTAGAACGAATAAAATAAATTCGTTAAAAAAAATGTGTGAAAACGCCATTCTCTGTTAGATATGAAGGTACGAAGAAGTGAGCATTAACGAGGTTAACGTTATTTGGTAAAAACTTCTATCGTTAACGAAACTATGTGTTGCAGATGGTGTGAGATCTATTAATTCTTAGTTCCGAATCACCGCATTCTTTTTTTTCGTTGTTCATTCGTATCAAGAAATCTCCTATGATGAGATGAAGATTGTGTTGTTGACAATGATTGAATCGAACAATTTATTGTATTTTTGATATATAAGTGCTTTTTTTTCTCTCTTTGCTCATACTCATCTATTCTTGTTAATCGTTTAATTGCTCCCAATATATGTCCAAGGATTATAAAGCAGCTGGCAAACAAGACTATAAGAAGAGGAGGAGAAAGAGCTTCGATTTCATTCATATAGCCAACAACAATAACCATTTTTGATGGTATGAATAAGTGACAACTCTTGAATATGAGACTAAATACCATTTCATGTGACGTAGAGAAAAGAGTGATCACAATGTATACAATGACTGACCTTGATATTCTCACAATGAGATCAGCAACAACTGTATCAGGTGTAAACAGGGTTAGAATGTATACTTGTTAAATTGACAAAAAAAAATCAATAGCATAGAGGTTATCAGAATGTGGTATATATATACATTCATCGTTTCTCTAATTAACACCTTAATCGTCTGATCTTAATCTAATTTCCATCCAGCTGATCAAAACTTTCTCAACAATGTTTTGTTTATCAAATAGAAGAGAAATAGTTTTTCGGGAAAGTAAAACGCCTAGAAGCAAGTCTTATTTTTCCTATGGACCGTGAAGAACAATTTTTTATCATTATCAAATCCATTTTACTTCTCTCTCTCTCTCTCTATCATCGATTTCAACTTCATTTAAGCAAAACAAACAAATTTTGTCATCATCGATTTCTTCTTCTACGGCATAAAAGAAAAGTTATGTCGTTTAATTGACAACCGTTCAAAACATTTTAACACATTATCCGATTTGTTAGTTATGTAACACGTATATTAGTAAAGCTGTGAAAATGAAATACAAAAAGTTTCTTTACTTTTTTTAATTGCCAATGGAATTTGTTAATGTAATAAAAAATATATACACTGAGGTGCTGAAATAAGATTATATTTAGTATCAACAAGCCAAAAACAAGTACAGTAATATAAATCTAACCCTATAATAGCTTCAATTAAACTTATTATCGATAGATAAAAAAAAAAAAAAATTCAGATTTATTGCGAGATATTCTTTAATCCGAATACGTATTTATACCTTTGAATATCGGGACAATTTTACAGAAAGCATTATACACTAGAAACGTTTCTTTATCATTTATGTTTTTTGTTTATCCGATTATTTTTCCTTTGATGGTTAAGAATTCACTTGTCTTATATCTCTACTGACAATGAAAAAGTAAGTGGTAATGGTGCAAAACAAGATCAGAAAAAAAACACACACACTGGCCAAGCCGGAAATACATTGAAGATCAAACTTCTACTAATCATGTTTATATTTAATTGTTGAATATATATATAACGACAAAAAGAAAAGTCAATTATATCAAAGAGAAAGCCCTTCGGGTTAGATATCTGAAGAAGGTCTTCTCTACTCAGCAGATATATTAAACAACAACAAATCATTCAATGACAATCATCATGATGTTATTTTCTTCTCCCTTTTTTTCTCTCATAATCATTTCATCACCACTTTTTTCAAAGTCAATGATCCATTTCCTGTGTATAACACAAGTTCAATATATACAGATCATTCGTACAGTCACTTCTCGAACGAGATCGATAGCAGATAACCATCATCATCATCATTCTTATTTCTTATTATATTTTAAAGCATCTAAATGAACTTCAAGGTTATCTCGGCAACATCAACTGTTAGAAAATATTTCACACATTCCTTCTTTTATCAATTATATCGAACATGCTGAGATTTTAACTTTTACATTTATTTATACAAATATTTTCAAACTATTCAACAACTTTTTCCGATTGATCAACATTAGCAACTTAACTGATCAGTTCAATATCGATATGCCGTTAACTGAAGAGAAAACATCATCACTAATTAGAAGACCATTTTTGACATCTTTTTTTTAATATAGGATTTCAGCAAAAATTGCATTTGATCGAGTTCTTTCTGGAGAAATAGATATTTTCACCCAGATTCAAAAAATAAATTTTTCTAAGTAATAAAAGTAGTTGTCATCGAAAAAATGATTTATTACTCATTTTAATTACAATTTTTGATCAATTTTCTTACTTAGTTTTTAATTCTTTTTTTATGTGACTATATAACACAACGTATAATTACAATATCATCACTCCATAAATTATGATCAATAATAAATATTGTTGTGAACAAATTAGGGTGATGAACCCGAAACAAATAACAAATTTCAAACTAATTAAAGAGAAAAAGTAGAATGATGTAATACCATTTTTATGGTCTATATTCGTTTGAATATAGTTCGATGTTACATGTACATAAATTTTATATCTCTAATTTTACTGACGATATTCTATTGAATCGATGTCACTAGCACGTGGGATTAGGGTTTTTAGTATAGAGTTAAGATTTATTTTCTAAGTACATAATATAATCATTTCAATTCAGCAAACATCATGTATAGAATATACGGTACTATGATCTTATTGTCTTTATATTTAGTATGTGTGTTTATAATGACTGATATTCTCTTCTAAGTTCATTCACTCATGCTTTTTTTAATACATGAAATTAATTGTTTTTTTGGCGAGTTAAATGAATGTATTGCTAGTTTGTCTATTGTGGTGAAAGTGACTACTCTTGTCTGATGTTTGACAGATAAATTGGCAACAAGGAGAAAAGTTATCGCGTAGACAGATATATACAGTCTCTTTCTGTCTCTCTTTCTTCACTAAAGCAACCTTTTTTCTTTTATTCTATGTCTATACAATGAAACCATCTCCATGGCTGGTCAGTTTTCCTTCTACAATAATTATAGAATATGGTCTTATTAACTATTTTAATTAACAAGAAATTTTGAATAGAACATGAATTTTTTTTTCTTTTCTTCTCGCTTTTTCTTTCCTGTATTATTATTCAGAAACTATAGGTTGCGCAATAAATTTCTATTATGCAGCGTCGATTAGTATTGAAAAAAAGTACAATGACACATACACACAGACACTTATACATTGCATAGCGCAAAAAAGAATCATAATCATAATCTAAAAAAGTAGTATCTATTATAAGAAACATTGACCTGAATTAAAAGAAAGGAAAAATTGAACATGAGAGAACGTGTGTTATAGCAGTAAAGATAGTTGAGATAATAATAATCACTGTGAAAAAAGAGAAGAAATTTTCTTTTGAAAAGAGAAGAAGAAAAGGTAGCTAACATTTCAGTAGAGTTTAGAGTCCACTATTACTAATTGATCATGCATATAATAGATATAGTAGTATGATCTCAGACATCATCAGGTCAAATGAATTATCTGCTAGACTGACAAATAAAAATAGAAGAGAAAGGAACCCTTAAATTAGTGATACAACTAACTACTGAGACTCTTCTTAGAAATATTGTGTTGTCAATATATTCGTTCTATTTGAATGTTTATATCACAAGCATGTGCATGAAAATATAATTAATATAAAATGTCAACAAGTATAGACGTTCTCTATTTGATATTCACTCAATCCATAGACTGTATCAATCCGAAAATTGTCAAGCTGCCAGTGACAAATGTCTTGGAGAATTAGTCTGTACCATATCCTAGTCATCAGAAATGATATTCATGAAGGGCGCATGTATTGTCCTTCTAATGTCCTTTAAAACGAAAATAAATTGTAATTGAAGCGAGAATAGTCTCAAACAGAAAATGGATAAAAATGTCCTTGGAATTGCCTATTGTATTAATAGAATGTCTGAAAAGCAGAAGACAATAGTTCTCTATTGCACATAACTCTTCTTATATTTACAATCAATTTAGTTTAGGAATCAATTTTCTATTAGAGTATTTCAATACTATAATATCATTTTCTCTACGCGTTAATCCTTCAAACTGTACATTGAAAGCAGACATAATTTTTATACATAATTGATTGTCGTATTCAACATGAGAAGAGTTGTTATTAATGTAAAAAAGAATTTGCTTAATCGAATAGTCAAAAGTTTTCATTTCAGGGTGCTGTCTTCCTCTACCATCCTAATTATCAAAATCTCACTCGACATGCAACTTTAGAATTTTGTGTATTGACAATTATAACTATACGCTTTGAATAAGAATTTTTTTTTTAACTGACATAGACACTCTACTTTATAAATCTCTTATTTTCAGACAAGGGAATAGTATACACTAGATTTAACGTTTCGATAGTCAGAGTCAAGTACAGGTTAATTATAGCGAAGAAAACATTAACTGTATGATAAGGATGATGTTTCATGTTCTGGATTATGAGTATATTGATTGGCTTCTTGATTTTTAGAATGTACGTTCAGTCATAATTATTCATTATCTCCTTAAAAAGACCTTCACGTTGACATAGCTCTCTTGTCATATTATCTCAAACTAACTGTGTCCCCTTACATGCACGAAGAGAAAACATGTTCATATATACTTCACTCCTCTTATCCCGCTATCAAGACAGATGGCACATTTTTTGTTCATTAAAGAATTACATCAATATTATCCAGTCCAAATCGCTCAAAGGCAATTATTATATTATTATTATTATTACAGTACAAATTGATAAAAATACAAGATAATATTCCTTCTTTCGTTTCAAATAGAAAGTTACGGCAAGTATTGGAAAAACTGCGGTAAGAAAACACTGAAGTTTCTCAAATGTAGTTATTCTCTGTGGTATAGCTGATGAGAAGGAAAAGTATTAAATAAAGATTTATTAGTGACATTATAATTTAGACAAAATGAGACTAATAAAATAATTTCTCTTGCTTCTTATACTTTAGTCCATTGTGTTGATTTTTTATAAAAAATAAATCAGCTGTACATATTCTTTTCTTTATTTTACCTTATTGAAGTGTGTCTACTACATCAGCCATCAACAATTTAACACAGTTGACTTTATCGGTTGATACTTTTTCTTTTTTTACAATTTCAATCTTTTTCTACTAATTATGTCATCTAATACCTATTACGTATATACTGTTTTTAAAGAAGAATTCTGTTGATGTTTAAAATTTGTTAAGCTCTTCAACTTTTTTTTCTTCTCTCTCTACCTTTTCATTTTCACACTGGACATTCTAAGTTTTAATCCTCTTTTAATCGGAAATAAAAGGAAATGGCATACTGGTCTTGCGTGTGTAGAAAATTCAAACTAAAGAAAAGCGAATGTAATTAACCGCACTAAGAACAAACATAAAGTGATGATTGATATACACATATGACGCAAGGAAATTTTCATGTCACATACGAACGTTGATCAAGAAGAGAAGAAAGCGAAACCGTGTTCATTAGTAACCCTGACAAAAAGACGTCCACTACTAATCACGATTCTACAAGAATCTATTGAAAAATAAAGAGTGTTTTCTAAACAATTATTTGTTCCTATAGAACTACTTTTACAGCATGGCGATATAACTCTGCTACCAAAATAAAATTCCATTACGTTGTTTGATGTTTTGCCTTCTTCATTTCTTCTGAAAGAAAGGATGCATGGAGCTCTCCAATGTCTTGATTTGTAGGTGGAATGTTGCTTAAACAAATAGCAGATGCCCACACTCTCTATGTATCTTTGATTGAAGAAATATTTTGAGAAAATTAAAATAAACTTCTGTAATCAAGTTTTAAAAAGGGATAGTTATACAATTTCTCTTCAATGAAAGATGTACAAAGAGTGTGGGCACCTGTTATTTGATTAAGCAAGATTTCACTTATAAATCAAGACATTGGAAAGCTTCGTGCGTTCTTTTCAGAAGATATGAAGACGGCAAAACATCAAACAACGTAATGGAATTTTATTTCAATAGCAGAGTTATGTGACCAAGTCAAACTTATGTTATGTTACGGTCAATAATCTAACTGTTGATTATCTATAGATAATGTGATTTAACGTGGTGTTGCCTACATTTATTGTTGTGTGAAATCTGATTGACTTTTACAAAAATATCATTGCACTGACCTTCACCAAGTAACACAATTTAGACTATTATTGTTCAATACGTTCATATTGTAGTTGTCCTTCATTAAACCGTAACTATTTATAAAAACGTCATTTTATATCCACATTAGCCTGTAAATGGTTTTATTAATCTAATTATGAAAAAACAAGATTTATACACGCCTTCTTCTTTTTCTTCTACACAACATCAGAGAAATTGAAGAGAAATATTTTATATACACTGAAGTTGAGCTAAGTAGCGCGGGTGCTTTATATACATTATTTTTTAACGGCTGTACAATCAAATAGCCGGAAATTGACTAAATATGTTTTCATGTACAAATAGAGCATAATTATTCCTGA